CTGCTGACCTTGTGGTCGTGCCCACTCGACCTCCTACAGGTCGTTGGACTTACCAGGCGTGAGCCAACCGCGCCCGCCCTTTAAATCTTATTACAAAAAAGCTAAATTTGGTATCTTTTTCTAGGGTTGCTAGACCCCTTTTTTTCTTTTTTTTTTTTTTTTTTTGTTGTATTTGAGACCGGAAGTCTCCACTCCTGTCGCCCAGGCCTGGATGCAGTGGGCCAGATCTCAGCTCACTGCAAGCTCCGCCTCCCGGGTTCACCGGCCATTCTCCGCGCTCCAGCCTCCGAGTAGCGGACTGACAGCCGCGCCACCGCCTCGCCGGCTAGTTTTTTGTATTTTTTTAGTAGAAGACAGGGTTTTCACCGTGTTAGCCAGGATGGTCTCGATCTCCTGACCTCGTGATCCACCCGTCTCGGCCTCCCAAAGTGCTGGGATTATAGGCTTGAGCCACCGCGCCCAGCCTAGACCCTTTTTTTCTAGTTTTCTAATTTCAGAAAGGGAAGTACATGCTCATTGTACATAATATGAAGAAAATTATAATCACCCGTAAACTCTCTCTGCAGAAGCAGCTGCTGTTGTTAATTTTTTGTCTTTTATTTGTTTATTTATTTATGAGACAGGATCTCACTTTGCACCCAGGCAGGAGTGCAGTGGTGCGATCTCAGCTCACTGCAACCTCGACCTCCCAGGCTCAAGTGATCCTCCCACCTCAGCCCCTCAAGTAGATGGGACTATAAGCATGCACTACCACGCCTGGCTAATTATTTTTGCATTTTTTTTGCAGAGATGGGATTTCGCCATATTGCCTATGCTGGTCTTGAACTCCTGACCTGAAGTGATCTGCCTACCTCAGCCTCCCAAAGTGATAGGATTATAGGCATGAGCCACTGTGCCCGGCCTTTTAGTCTTTTTAAATACATATTTTTAGTGTAGCCAAGGTCAAACTGTAAAGACTATTTTGTATCCTACTTTCTTTTCCCTCTTACTAACCATACATATCTTAAGCTGGAATGCAGCAGAAGTTTTTTTTTAAACCCAAAATTTTAACAGAATTTCCTCAACATTTAATTTTTTAATATTGGCTTATTTGTTTTATGAATCTGTATCAATCACCTGATTTATACCAGGCCCTGTGCTATATTGGAGGAAGGTACAAGTTGAATCAGGAACCAGAAACTCACTGGCTGACCATTTATATCCTACAAAAACCATCTATCCTAATCCATGAAAGGGCCCTTCCTTTTGCTTCTCATAGTCTATCTGTAAATTAAGCACAATGATTTCTCTGAAGAAGTCCTCAGACATTTCTTAGGGCTAGTGGGAGCCATGGAACACTATGCTCCTTTTAATCAATAGCAACATTCCTTGGAAATGTGCTGCCCAGTCCCATCTGCACAGTATCTTAGTTGTCTTTCCATACTGTGACTGTAGCAGACTTTTTGTGAATTCAGTTTCATGTTAGGAATAATACTTTACTGTCTCTACCATTCTCTTGCCCGTTCTCAGTGGCATCTATAGTCTCTCTATAACTGGTAATCTGTTGTGAGTTTACTGCCGCTTTTAGAAAGTCAAGGGCTACTCTTTCATAACCTTATTCCTTCAGAAGCTTTTGGCTTCTAAATCAGTGTTTATCCAGTAGAAGTTTCTGTAGTCCCATGGAAATTTCTGTGTCTGTACTCTAGCCCAAGAGTAGAACCATCTTGAGATACTGGATTTTATTTATTGAACATTTAAATATTAAGATTGTACCTATGGCATAATGGTTACCCATACTGGATAGTGCAGTCTAGATAGTCCCTCTTATCGGCATGGATAGTTTGTTTATTTTGGCGTGTTTATAACACACTAGGCTGGGATTTTTGTTTTGAGACAGAGTTTTACTACTTGTTGCCCCATTGCCTGGAGTGCAATGGCGATGATCCTCAGCTCACCACAACCTCCTGCGCTCCCCGTGTTATCAAGCAAATTCCTCCTGCCCTCCAGCCTCCCGAGTAGCTGGGTTACAGGCACGCGCCACCACACCTGGCGCTAATTTCTTGTGTTATTTAGTAAGAATGGGTTTCTCCTACCTGGTTGGTCACCAGGCTGCTGTCTCAAACTTCTTGCCTCATGGTTCTGCCCAGCCTGGCCGTCCCAAAGTGCAGTGCTGGGATTACAAGGCATGAAGCCACGGCCCACCTGGCTTTGCTTTTTAACCCTTCTCTTGTTGTCCAGCCAGCATGGGTAGTATGTGTGGGAATCACCACAAGAACCTATATGCGTTTTTTTTTTTTTTTTTCTTTGAGATGGAAGTCTCGCTCTGTCATCGGGCTGACCACGCATGGGTCAATATCGCTCACGCCACCTCTGCCTCCTGGATTCCAAGTGATTCTCGTTAGCTCATCCCCTCAAGTAGCTCGAGATTATAGGGGCCACCCGTCCGCGCCCGGCCTAATTTTTGTAATTGTTTTAGTAGAGATGAAGTTTCCACCATGTTGCCAGGGCCTGGGTCTCCGAACCTCCCTGAACTTGGGTGAAGTCCACTTTGCTTTCAGCCTCTCCAAATGCTGGAAATTACAGGCCATACCAGGCTTCGTGCCTGGACCCAAAGAACTAATTTCTAGGAGGATCACCTTGAAGGGAGATGAGATTACTTGCTATGTTTTGGGGATCGGAGTATTATAGTATCTCTCTGGGGTGGGGCAGCTTTTGGGAAGCTGTTAGAACCTTGTTCGGAAGTCATTGTAAGCAGAACTAAACTAGTCGTGTAAATCAGTTTCTACATAATGGCGAGGGACTTTTTCAGGAAAGGGGTTCTAATCGCTTCTGTGAAAATTCAAGTAGAAGTTTCTTTTATTCTCAAATATATCACTTGTTACCTATTTTTTTTTCCTTTTTTTTTGAAACGGATCTCACTCTGTTGCACTAGGCTGGAGTGGCAAGTGGTGGCATCTTGGCATCACTGCAACCTCCCCGCCTCCCGGTTTCAAGCAATTCTCCTGCCTCAGCCTCCTGATAGCTGGGGCACTAATAGGCGCCCCTGCCACCACGCCCGGCCTAATTTTATGTTTTTAAGTAGAGATGGGATTTCCACCATGTGGTCAGGCTGGTCTTGAACCCTGAACCTCGTGCCACCTTCCCTCGGGCCTCCAAAGGTCTGGGATTACAGGTTGGGAGCCCGTCGCGCCTGGCCCACTTGTGTTACCTTTTGTTTTTTTTTTTTTTTTTTTTGAGACGGCAGTCTCACTCCTGTCGCCCGGACTGGAGGTGCAGTGGCCCGTATCTCAGCTCACTGCAAAGCTCTCGCCTCCTGGTTAACACCATTCTCC